TGAATTGTACAAGACTGATGAATCACGGATCTGTACTTCTGAAACAAATAATGCCATATATGTTAAGAAAAAAAGAAGAAGATAGCAGGAGGGGAAGAATGAAGAAGTAAGTCGGAGGGGGAGATGAACCATGAGAGACGATGGACTCTGAAAAACAAACTGAGGGTTCTAGAGGGGAGGGGGTGGGGGATGGGTTGGCCTGGTAATGGGTATTAAAGAGGGCACATTCTGCGTGGAGCACTGGGTGTTATGCACAAACAATGAATCATGGAACACTACCTCAAAAACTAATGATGTAATGTATGGTGATTAATATAACAATAAAAAATTATTAAAAAAAAATAAAGAGTAGAAAAAATTGAGCTGGGACATCTCATCTTCTCCAGCCTTTAGACTGGGATTTACATAATAAACCCCCGTTTCTCAGGCCATTAGACTTGGACTGAATGATACCACTGGCTTTCCTGGGTATCTAGCTTGCCAATGGCAGACCGTGGAACTTCTCAGCCTCACTGGCATGAGCCAGTTCCTCATAATGAATCTACATCTGCGTGTGTGTGTGTGTGTGTGTGTGTGTGTGTGTGTGTGTGTGTGTACGCACATATATACTGGTTCTGTTTCTCTGGAGAACCCTGACTAGAGAAATTTAAAGTGGTGATTAAAGTTAAGTGAGGTTATATAAGTGGGCCCTAATCCTATAGGAGCGGTGTCTTTAAAAGAGAGAGACACACCAGGGAGGCCCACACACAAGGAAAGACCATGTGAAGACACAGCAAGAAGGCAGCCATCTGCAAGCCAATGAGAGAGGCTTCAGGAGAAACCAACCCTACCAATATCTTAATCTTGGACTTTCAACCTCTAGAACTGTGAGAAAATAAATTTCTTTTGTTTAAACTACCCAGTCTGCAGTTTTATTATAAGAGTTCTAGCAAACTGATACAGAAGCTTTCTCAGTGTTCCTCATGTTTTCCTTATTCCTAGAATGACGTGTTCCTCTTGTCTTCATGAGAAATTTAACCCATCCTTTAAGGCTAACTCGATTGTCACCTCTTCTGTGAAATTTTTCCAAATTCTGTGTTCCTGTATTTGACATTTTTCTTTTATAGCACTTTTAATATTGTGTCAGTGCCTGTCTCTTGTACAAGACTGTGAATCCTTTAAGAAGATCAGCCATACAAAGTTCATATTTGAATTCCCAATACCTAGTTTAAATGCTTGTTGGATGAATGGATGAATGGGTATATGAATGGATGAATGAATGAGTACAAGAGTTGCAATTTCCCCTTAAGGCGCCCCACTCCCTGTTGCCCTCTGGTGGCTATTTATTCTACAACACTGTATCTTAGGCAGTTCATGGATTCTTCCAGGTAACTTGTTTTCCAATTTATGAAAACTTCCCCCCTCATATTTTGGTATTACCACAATCTACTCTTCTTGTTACATCATCCATCAACTTCTGATCATCCTCCTCATTTTTTGAGAACTTTTGTACCAAGACCCTAGTCTTCACTACACTAACATCAGTGACTTCCAATGACATATAGATCATCCTTCTCAAAAACAGATTCAAAATTTCTTCCTCAGCCCTAACATGTTATCTACATCTTACTTCAGGAACTCATTACTTGGCCACACCCAGACTTCATCGTCACAAAAAAGATTTTCACATCTGGATATTTTGGCTCTGTAGTAAGTTGAATAACAACCCCCAAAGATGTCCACATTCTAATCCCCAGAACCTGCGACCATGTTACCTTTTATGGCAAAAGAACCTTTGCAGATGTGATTAACTTAAGCAACTTGAGATCAGAAGACAACCTTGGGTTATCTGGGAGGGCTCAATATAATCAGAAGGGTCTTTATAAGAAACAGGCAGAAGGGTCAGAATGAGAGAAATGACAACAGAAGCAGAAGTCAATGTAATGTGAGGCCATGAGAATTAGAAGGCAGGCAGTCTCTCAAAGCTGGAAAGGGCAAGAAAGCAGGCTTTCCCTTAGAGCCTCCAGAAAGAACACATCCCCGCCAACTGGGTTTATATTTATGACTTTTAGAACTGTGAGAGAAAAAAAAAACCTATGTTGCTGTACCCACTAAGTTTATGGTAATTTGATAGAGCAGCAATAGGAAACCACCAAAGGACCAATCTCTAGCCACAGGCTTTTGTTCTTCTGGCTCACTCAGTCTCTTTCAGTACAACTAACCCTATCCTCACAATTGATGTTCTCTCTCTGGCTACATTTCCTTTCCTAGACACATAGACACAATGATTTTAAATGCTAACATCTCTCTTCTCAAGACATCAAGGTCCTAACCTGAGCTAGGTCCTCAGTCTCTCTTTATTCTTTCTATGACCTTCAGGAGCTCCTTCTTTTTCTCAAAGCAATAGTTCTAAACCAAGTCACCTGCCCCATCACTACTTCTCTCTTTAGTAAGTTACCTTGACTTCTATTTTTGAGATAAAACTGAGGTGTGCCATGAGCTGCCTCCAGCATGCCCCCTTGCTGCAGTCCCCCCAGCTCTCACTGTCCCTGCTTATTTCTCTCTGCTGCCTCTGCCTTACAGACCTTCCCTCTCTCTTCCCTTTGGTCTCTTCTATCCTCCATTCACCTAAAGTAACTTACTTACTTCTTTATCTTTTCCCAACATTTTCCAACTTTCTATGAAGACTTTGTTGACACCACCCAATTCCCTGGTTGACCACCCTTCCTTCGTGTTCCCATTTTATTATACATACTTCTACTGCAACTGTCATACCACACATGATAATGTTTTGTGTCTTTCTCCGTAACTAGACTGAGAGTCCCTGGAGGTGAATTACTGTGTATTATTTGTCTTGTTATCTCCAAGTACTTTGAGCACTTTGCCTGTAATGTTCTAAGAAATGGTAAGAAGGAAAGTAGAAAGGACCTAGTGAGATGGTGAGTGATGTGGCCAGACAGCAAGCCTCCTCCCACCACAGGTACACGCCGTCACCACCATCAAACATCAGTCGTGCCTTTCACCTCCTCCCTGTGATAAATCTGTCTCGAGACTAAGGCTGGTCCCACATCTCTAGGCAGAAACTCATTCCAGTCAAAATGACAAGTGCACTGCCATGTTCATCTGAGAGTCCTATTTCATCAAATCCGCTTCAGAATCAGGAAGGCACTCTTGGCTACCTCCGTACTCCAGACCATCTGGTCAGGTGGCACAGCGCCCACTTACAAGGTCAGTTTCTTACTGCCCTGAACACTCCAGTTTATGCTGCAGAGTAAACTTTCTCTCTGAACTATCACAGGAAAATCTTCAGAATCACATTAGTCTCTCTCTCATCCACTTCTTTTAGTTCTTGGCTGAGTGGCAGGGATATTTCTCCAGAGCATCATTGTGATCTAACTGTCCCTCTAACTGAGGACAATGAAATGGTCTGGGAGGACAAAGGGGGCAGCAACCACTTCTTATATTCCTTTTTTGTGGAATGGAGAGCAGCAGTGAAGTAGCCTCTGCCATGGAAACACTGGACCACATTCTGGGTTCTCAAGGATGTGTCCAGTCAGCTTCATGGACATTCTGATCCTAAGTCAAACTGTTTGTATTAGAATTGACAGGCATTAACTATGCTTCACATCTAAATGATGGTTCCTTTTGTGTTCGAAAGAGATCGTTGCCCCAACAGTAGAAATGAGAGAAGCCACAATATGTTTGCTTCTTGTTGGCACATTTTTGGTTGGAGTTTGCCTGCAGATTCCCCTAACATCTGGGAACTAATGCTATAATGATGCAGCCTGCTAACATCATAGAGAAAGCTGAAGATGAGCAATCGTAAATAACTATACAAATGATATACATCCTGTGCCAAAACAAAAAGGATAGCCACATTGGAGGCAGAGCTCCTAGGGACCAAGATGGGGAGGAAACCTGGCTTCACATGACACCGACACACTCTTACACATGGTCCGCTCTACTGTCAGGCATTCAATTTTCCTGTAGGTAAATCTGTCTGGGTAGATTTCAAAGCAAATATATTTGAGGATTGTCTGAAAATGCATCTATACCTCTGCCTTCTTTTCCTATATATTTGGGAAAAAGGGGGAAGACGACATGGAGCGGGTTAGGAACCAACTCTCACCCTTGAAGATCCAACATAAAGGCTACCTTCTCTGTGAGGTTCCCTCTAAACCACTGCAACCCCCAGTGATCTGTCCTTCCCCTGAATACCTATAAGATTTTGCATTTTACTCTGTACCATACTGACTTGCATTATTAGTTATCCATTCATGATTCAAGAACTTGTCTCCCCAATAGGCTGCCAGGTCCTTGAGGACAAGGACTGCTCTATTCGTCCACAGTACCTATTCACAGTGTTTGAATACAGCAGATGCTCAAAATATTTGATTGCTTGGGTAATGCCACCAGCAAATAACCCCCAAATCACAAACATGATTTTGTTGCACAGTATATGAAATTTAAGGAATAAATCTATCTCTGTATTAAGATTGTACGCCTCGTGTTCTGCAATTCCTGAGAACAAGGTACGTGAGCTATGTATTGGGGATTGCACGGGGGCGCCAGAGGAAGCGGGGTAAATTGTTAAAGTGTATCGGGCCAATGAAAAAAATGCCTACATGGGATTAAAACAAACTGGATTACTGAGAGTTTGCCTAAGCAGTAAGAAATGTTGGACGACTCCATTTAATAATTAAAGCTAGAAGTCTCAGTCTTCGAGTGTTACTGCCTACACGGCCGCTCTCTGCTCCACACCCCTGTGGGAACTTTGCCCCACCCTTCAGCACGGGTTCTGCAAACCCAGTTTCTGAGACCACTTTCCGCTGGTGCTGTCACGGCTGTTCCTCGCCACCAGGGGGAGCAGCGCGCAGCGCAGCGCCGCGCCTCTGGGCGCGCGGCCGCTCTCCCAACATGCCCCGTTCCGCCGCCGTCGACCCGGAAGTCGTCGCCGGCGGCTGCCGGCCGGCAGCCGTGACAAAAGCTGGGCTGCTGGTGGCAGTCGCCCGGGGACTCCGAGGGCGGCGGCGAAGACACCGTTGTGACCCCCGCACATCGGGACTCGGTTTGGGCGCGCCCCGCAGCGGTGTATGACCCGGTGTTCGGCGTCTGTAAGTGTTGGGTGACAGGCGCCGTAGGCCCTGCCCCGCCCTCCCCAGGCAGCGCGGAGGCTCTCCGACCTCCGTTATGAAGGCTGCGGAGTCTCGGCTGGAACGGGCTGGAGCGAGGGGGAGAAGCAGTACCGCCCCTGTCGCTTTGCAGTGCCTGTAGGACGCCGAGGGCCCAGAGCTCCGCCCGGGGCCCTGAATAGCACGCCAGATAGCCTTGTCTCCGTACACAGTTAACGTCTCATTCCCGACCTCAAGTGAAGTAGAAAGAGGGTGATCGATCGTCGGAGTAGCCATCTGCCCCTTTTAGCCATGAAGGCAGAGACAGTGTCCTCGTTACAAGAGGCTCCAGCTGAGTCCAGCTGGAGCCTCAGTAACCTGCTGAGCAGCCGGAAGCTGATGGCTGTGGGGATCGTGCTCGGCTGGCTCCTGGTCATCCACTTTCTGGTCAACGTGTGGCTCCTATGCCTTCTGTCTGCATTGCTAGCGGTGCTGGGAGGATGGCTGGGCTCAAACGCCATTGTGGGGGCTTCAGGTCGACTGCACCTGGAACGTTTCATCCCAGTGGCCACCTGCCCTCCAAACCCTGAGGCAGAGAGGCAACTGGAACTGGAGATCGACCGCACCATCCAGATGATTATTCGGGACTTTGTGTCGTCCTGGTATCGCTCAGTGAGCCAGGAGCCAGCCTTTGAGGAAGAAATGGAGGCCGCCATGAGAGGGTTGGTCCAGGAGCTCCGGAGGAGGATGGGCATGGTGGACAGTCATGCGCTGGTCCAGAGAGTTCTGACTCTCTGCGGTTGTCACCTGCAGAGCTATATTCAGGCGAAGGAAGCCCTGGCTGGGAAGCAGAGTGGTACAGTTGAGCCCTCCCAGCTCTGGGAGGCTTACTGCCGAGCTGCTGCCCCACATCCTGCTGTGCAAAGCGCCAGCACTGAGGTCGCTTATACACGTGGCATTGTAAATTTATTGCTTCAAGGACTAGTGCCAAAGCCCCACTTGGAGACCCGGACCGGTCGCCATGTAGTGGTGGAACTCATTACTTGCAATGTAATCTTACCACTGATTAGCAAGCTGTCAGATCCTGACTGGATCCACCTTGTACTTGTGGGCATCTTTTCCAAGGCTAGAAATAATCCGACAGCAGTGGTTAAACCAACTTCCCCAGCCAGTGCCCTGGAAAAGCCCTCATTGCCCACATCTCTGCCACTGATTGTTGAGGTACAGAGCCTGCCAGAAGTGAGAGCCCCTTCTCCAGCAGCAGCGCCAGTGCTACTGAACTGTAATGAGCCAGAAGGGCCTTCCCATCACTCCCCAGAAGTTGAAGAAGGCCATGAAGCAATAGAGGGAGAATTGGGTGGAGTCCCGGAAGAAAGAAAAGTAGGAAACAACTCATCTCATTTCCTACAGCCAGATATTCGAGGCCCTTTGTTCTTATGTGAAGACACAGAGCTGGAGTCTCCATTGTCTGAACTGAGCAAGGAAACCATCATGCTCATGACTCCAGGCAACTTCCTCTCTGACAGGATCCAGGATGCCCTGTGTACCCTGGAGGGTCCCCAGTCTCTGGAGTCTAAGGATGTTGAGGGATCCGAAGGAATTGAAGGAGCAGAGGCCGAGCTGGGTCCAGGAACAGAAACAGAGACAGGGCTGCTGGTCTCCATGCTGACTTCCTGCCCAGAGATCCACATTGACACAGCAGACAAGGAAGTAGAGCAACGAGATGTCACCTCTCTTACAGCTTTGCTGACAGATCCAGGAAGGACCTGCCCCCCACGACCCTCATGCTTAGAGAAGGCTCTCCCCAATGGTGTGAGCTCCGTAGATCCTAATCTGCCACAGGTTCTGCTTTCCTCCTCTCCAAGTGGTCCTCTCAGCTCAGCCACCTTCAGCTTTGGGCCCCTGACCAGTCCAGATGGCCCAGTTGTCATCCAGAACCTTCGTATCACTGGTACCATTACTGCTCGAGAGCACAGTGGCACTGGATTCCACCCATACACACTCTACACGGTGAAGGTAATAGGATTAGAATACGGTCACCCACTCTGGGCTGGGAATGGGTTTGGAAAGCAGAGTCAATGAAGCTAGTATTCTAAGGGAGAGAGGCTACTCTTCATTTACTGTATTTAATTTGACAAGAATCCATATGTGAATGGTCTGAAGATCATTTGTAAAGCAGAGTTGGCTTCTGTTTAGAATCTATGCAAACAATCCTAGAATCTCAGGGTTCTTAGGATACTGAGGGTCATATTTTTCAGTGGTTCCCAATATAGAGTCTTGTCCAGAAATTCTCTTACCAAACTTCCCTGTTAATTTCTTTCCTTTCTTAATTACTAGTGTCTTCTGTACTTTGTTTAGGAAGGAAGTTTATTTACATGTATATGTAAATATACATATTTACATATATATATATACCCCCACACACACATATATATTATATCTCAGAAGGTACCAGGTTTCTAATTCCTAGAGTTGTTTAAGCACAGAAGTTGGAACTACTTGGCAGAGACGATAAGGAGGTATCATATGTATCATCATGTATCAGATGGTGAGTTCAGTTACAGCAGCAGCTCCCTAAAACTGGCTTTAGGATAGACTGCCTCCCAAGAGGGAGGGATTTTTGTAAATTCTCACTCAGATCTATCAGAGCCTATCAGAATGTATAGAATCTATAGATTATAGAAATCTTTCTTTCCTTGATGAAATCACTGCTAAGGTGAAACTTTTTTTTTTTTTTTTTTTTTATTATGTTAAGTTGATAAACTTAAGCTTGTAATTCAGAAGAACATCTGGTTATCCTAAGGTGTATATAAAGCATGAAAATTTGAGGCATATTTGAAAATAAAATAAAAAGGTTAAATAAGCAGTGAGAATGTTCCCTTAACAGCCCAAGTGATTTTTGAGGTGCAGCCAGGTTTGGGAATGTATGAGTATTGATTAGTGTCTCTTAGGGAGCAGAATATTCCACAGAAACTCCCAGGTGCCCCAAGTTTGAGAGCCCCACCCTGAATTCTATCTGTGTCTCTTACCTAGGCCTTTCCTTCTCAGTGCTGGTCTGAGGGACTACTACTTTCCTCATGTCAGTTCATAATGAATACTTCTCTCTGGCTCTAGAAAATTTTAAGACAGCCTTAAGGCTCACCAACAAAGAGATCATTTTTTCCATCACTTGCCCCACAGTATAATACCTCCTCCAGACAATAATGGTAACCTACCCCTAATGAGAACAAGTACATACATAGTTCTTGCACATCATTTCATTATATCTTAACTACTCTGTCAAAAAGTATACCCTGTACTGAGTTGCAGCTTTCATGCTGTTCAGGGTGTTTGCTCTGCGGGAACATTCAGTACAAGTTATCTTTTCCCACATACTGGCCCTCCACGCATATGAAGACAGCAAACTTTGACCCCTTACAACATCTCCAGTCTTCATGTGACTTCCAATCATACAGATGATATGTGCTTAGAAAAAAAAATTTCAGCTTAGCTCCAAGAATAATAATTAACCTGCCCAAAGCTAAATAAAAACACATGTTCCTTTAATGCATTCCAGGCAAACATGATTTTATTCATCAGCTGTTTGGGATTATTTGATCTTCCCCCCCCAACTAACATAAATAATCACTGGTCAAGTATAATGGCAAATGGTTATCCTCTTATAACATCCAACCCATAATTTAGGAGTGAAAGAGGTGCTCTTGTGCCTTCTGTTTTATACTCTTTGGGATGTGAAAAATAGTAATATAGCCATTTTAAGATTTATTTCAGAGCGAGAGAGGGAGACAAGCGGGTGGGGCGGGGGGGAGAGAATCCCAAGCAGACCACTCCAAGTGTGGAGCCTGACACAGGGCTCAATCCCATGACCATGAGGTCACAACCTGAGCCAAAGCCAACAGTCAGACACTTAACCGACTGTGCCACCCAGGAGCCCTATAGCCATTTTTATAAGTAAAGAAAGTGTTTGCAGGAGGGAGTTTTGAGGTAGAAGGAGAGAATGGAGAACAGCAAAACTCATTGCTCTTTCTGGGCCACATATGTTGGGAAACACATCTCATTCCTTAATTCAGCAGCCCTGGGAATTTGAGTTATTCATTAACACTCAGAGCAGCAATCAGATCTACTAGGTTCGGAAATAGGGGTACCTGGGTGGCTCGGTCAGTTAAGTGTCTGCCTTTGGCTCAGGTCATGATCCCAGGGTCCTGGGATCAAGCCCCACATCGGGCTCCCTACTCAGCGGGAGCCTGCTTCTCTCTCTCTCCCTCTGCCTGCCACTCTGCCTACTTGTGCGCGCGCGCGCTCTCTCTCTCTCTCTCTCTCTGTTAAATAAGTTTAAAAAGAGAAAAGAAACAGAATAGGAACGTCTCCCTCCCTTTACCTCTACTCTGCTCCTACTGTGTGGCCATTGAGCTGATGCCCTAAACAAATGTGTTCATTCAACAGTATGAGACGGCCCTGGATGGTGAGAACAGCAGTGGCCTGCAGCAGGTGGCCTACCACACTGTGAATCGCCGCTACCGCGAGTTCCTCAATCTGCAGACGCGTCTGGAAGAGAAATCAGATCTCCGAAAGTTCATAAAAAGTCAGGAGTTTCCCCAGCCCACTTTACACGTGTATCTCCCTGATATGAGAGGCTGGAGGCCTACTATTTGTGGGGAAGGATGGAGGAGGAGAACACAGCATCAAGGGGCCCGTGTTCCCCCACTTTGCTTTCAGATGTTTTGGGTTTTAGTGCTGGCTAGCACTGATCACATTCTTTCTGAGGCACTTCTTTGCCACTTAATGCTTTGTTCTGGGGCCCATCTAGTTTAAGCTTAAGAAACTTTAAGAAACTTCACATTTCTACCTGTGTCTGTGAGGTAGCATGAGGAGTTAAATCAACTTTTCCACATACATACAGAGATGAATTGTTCTTAAAATAGTAGCCAGAAATGCTTGCTATCCTTCCTTTAACAACCAGGCTTTTTGGGTGTTTGCTATTTGATACCCATAGGGCACAGGAACAGTAAGAAAATGGAATAAAATTTAGCTCTAAAAATAAGCTAGTAAGCAGCTGCTTTGTTTAAAAAAACCAAAAAACAACAACTGATGATCACCCAAATAAACCTTTTAATGAGTTTAGGCCTAAGTTGTGGATTTCAGTTATGCATTTTCTTTCTTAATAACAATAGTTACTACTGAACCAAGCTTGAAAAGTATGCCAGGTACTCTTCTAAGTACTTTACACATATTAGCTCATTTAATTCTCCTAAGAGCTTATGAGATAGAGAACTATCATTATCCCCACTTTACAGAGAAAAAAGTCAAAGAAGAATTAGGCATTCTTATAGTAGGGATTGGAGCAAAAATTTAAATTCAGGCACCTAGACTTCAGAGCCCTCATTTGTAACTACTGTAGCATATGGCCTCCTATACCTTAGCGTGAACACTGATAATGAGAGTAGACTGCATGTACTATATCCTTGGGGTATATTTGGAACTCCTGAAATAAAAAATCTCAGGAATATATGCAACAGTTCTGTTTTCTTTACATATATGATGTATTTTATATGGAATATCTCTCAGTGAATGTTAAGTGAATGAGTTTGTGTTTTTTTTGTTTTTTTAAGATGTGAAGGGTCCTAAAAAGCTCTTTCCGGACCTTCCATTTGGAAACATGGATAGTGACAGAGTAGAAGCCCGGAAGAGCCTCCTGGAATCCTTCCTAAAGGTCAGCGTCCTTCTGTTTCGGCTGTGCTCTCATTCTAATTATCAGATACCCAAGCCAAGTTGAAGAGACTTGAATTTCTCTTTGAAATCCTTCTTGTGTCTTTTGCAGCAACTCTGTGCCATTCCGGAGATCGCCAACAGTGAGGAGATGCAGGAGTTCCTTGCTTTGAACACAGATGCTCGTATTGCCTTTGTCAAGAAACCATTCATGGTGTCCAGAATAGACAAGGTACCAGCAGGGCCACTGTGTGCACTCAGCTTTAGTTTCTCACCAGAGTGTAGGTAGTGACTGAAAAATAAAGGAGGTAGCGGGTACAGAGAGAAAGCAGAGAGGAGTCCATAGAACGTGGACTAGAATTTTTAAGACCTGTTGCAAATATTGGTTGGACCATCACCTTGCTGAATTACAGTGAGCAACTATGACGCTATATGTGTACACATATCTCCTAGGGGATATTATGACATTGTTATTCTAGCAGCGGAAGGTAAGGATAGATCTGTACCTCCATAGATCCATGGGGGCAGGAAAGTTTCTCCTGGAGATAAAGATCATTCCTGGTGCTGGTCACTTAGGAAAAAGAGCCCCAAGATAGGACATTAAGCTTGATTTAGACTGGTGTAGTGTTCTCTGCTGGAGAACAGAGCATGGAAAGAATTACACTTTTTTTGAGAGGGTATCTCAGAACCTTTGGAGATGGTAGGCGAAGGACATTTGTGCAACACATATCCTGTAAGCAGTGATTACCAGCTGATTTTAGAGTCTCCAGGGCACAAGTCTGCAGTTTATGTTTATCCAAAGATGGCATATGTTTTAAAAGGTTAGAAAACACTGACTCATTGGCAGAAGGCTGGCCTCTCTCTAGACTTCAGAGGATACAGTGAAAAAGTGGCATTTCATGTGGTAGGAATTAGGAGACATGCACTGCTGTGAGGAAAAAGCTGCAAACTGGAAAGGGATGAATGAGGTAGAATCCCCAGAATTCCATGCAGATGTGTCCATCCACACAGATGTGTTCACTTGCTGACTCACCAGCCGCTTACTGCTTGCCTGGTCAAGTATGAGCTTGACCATGAACAAGACTAGCTGCTGGTGATACAGCAGTGAACAGAGCAGATAAGGACCCTCCCCACAGACGACAATTTTGTGAGCCTTGAGGGCAAGTTATATTTTCTAAGTTGCGTTGTCTATCCGTGCGGTCCTCTGTGTTCTCTCCCTGGTTTGCTGTCCCCTCCTGTCATCTTTCTCTGACACTTCAGCCCTGTCTCAGCTGTGCCATAGCTGTACCCCTGGTGGAGGATGAATACAGGCATGAAGTAAGGAAGGCGTGATGCTACTCTGAGCCGGCACTGTTAAGTAGCAAGGAGCACCAAAAGACAAGATTTCTTTTCATTTCTTTGGTATTTTAGGGTTTCATTTGTACATTTTATATGTACATTTTATTTTATGTCTATATGCCATTTTTCCATTCTGAGAAATACAACTCTTCAGGGAGGATTGTTTTATTTGGTCTTTATGAGTAGTTTATATCAAATTCAGATTCCTAAATTTTGACATGAGTGATTTTTGTTACTCTTTCTGTAAAGAAGAGAAATTGTTTGGATTAACTGGAAAAACCAGTTCTTTACTCTGTGAATTTTCTCTGAACATGTTAATATTATATATGCTTCTAGAAGGTATTTCTGATTTGATAATCTTTACTCTTTCTCTTTGCCATATCACTTCCATTTATTCAGATCTTGGTGAAAGTATTATTGATTTGGAAATTAAAAATCCTTCTTTCATATATAAGGAAAGAAATTGAAAAATGAAAAGTATTTCACCAGCCTGCAGAACTCCCAGCTTTTTATTTATCTCACTGTTTTGGTTTCTTTTCCCATGGCATTGTTTGTCTTAACTGTGAGGAAGCAGATTTTTATGGCCATTGAGGAAAGGGGGGATAGTTGCCAGTAAATCTGCCTGGTATCTGACTATGCTGATGAAAAGGCTCCACTAGCTAGCCTAGCTATCTGCTCATCTTCATTGCATAAAGCACCGTGAGACAACTGCTCATTTGGTGGTTTCTGTCTGACCCTGCACCTCTGACCCCTGCAGATGGTGGTAAGTGCTATCGTGGACACCTTGAAGACAGCATTTCCTCGCTCCGAACCCCAGAGCCCCACAGAAGAGCTGAGTGAGGCCGAGACAGAAAGCAAGCCCCAGGCAGAAGGCAAGAAGCCTAGCAAGTGAGAAGCCCTTCAGTCACCTGGGGACCCTTTCCAGTTCTCAGGGTGATTGCCAGTCCTGAGCCAAAGCCTATCCCCACTCTCCAGCCCTAGGAGAGAGGAGATGGGTCATACATACCAGTTTTTATACAAAGCCAGACCTACACTCCTCAACCCTCAACCCAAAGGAGCCTGAGATCCAGCATAGGCCTCCCTGCTGAATGTTTGTCTTGCCATGGGAACCCAGAACTTAAACTGACCAGGGAGTTTTGACTAGAAGGAAAACTGTAGAATATGGATATTCTCCTTTTCTATTTTCCTGGAAAATTGAGGTGTTTCTTTCCTATTAAGAATTAAGGCTTATAACTGATCTCTGTTTGTCATCATTTCTGGAAATCTTAGCTCAGAAGATGCACGTACTAGCAATAAACAGGAAAAAGCCAGAATAAACATGTGTAGGGCCTATTTTAGGCTATTCTGTCCTGCACTAGAGTCCCACATACACCCTTTCAAAGCCAACATGTGGAAGGGAAGGGCACCACACTTAACCCTTACTGTAAACTTCATATCTGTATCTGGACCATTATGAAGAGAAAGAGTGAGTGAGAGAGAGTGTGTGCGTGTGCATGTGTGTGTGTGTGTGTGTATGTGTGTGGGGAGGGTGGAGAGTTTGTATGTTTGTGTCTGTATGTCTGACTGTCTTTGTCTCTGTGTTCATGTCTCATGGACCAGCAATAAAACAATTTTTAGCCTTTTTTCACTGAGCCCATATTTTGAAGGGTGACCATGATATCTGTGCTTATAAGAGCCTTGAACATGAGGTTAGCACTTGTGGTCCCTTCCCTACTTTTATTTGGAACACTAGGAGAATAAGTGGATGTATGAAAAGGGTACTAACAACAACAAAAACCTTGGTTTATGTCACTTGTCAATTTAATCTCCAACATATTTTTAATGAGTATGTAGTATATGCTCACCATTCTTCTAACTTATGGGAATACGACCATGATAGACTGGTCCCTGTTTTACATTAACAAAAGCCCTTTCTCAAATGCATCGTGGACAGAGCTTAGCGCAATGGTTGTACTATGTTTTAAGAATTGCCAGAATGTATATCGTTTTGGGAATTTCAGGGCCAGGTCTTTCCTGGCAACTCTGACCACAGTAAACTCCCAAGAATAAGTATGGGTGTTCTTGTTTTAAAGCATTAATACTTGTCAGCCCTTGTTTGGAGATCAAAACCATGAATCACGTTCTGTTTCTGCTCTTTGTGTCAATGCCAGGTCCAGATTGAGGTTCTCCAGTAAGATTGCTCCAGCACTGACTATAACTGAGGCTCCTGAGAAGATTCTCTATTGTCTCCAGGAAGGCAATGTGGTAAGAATTTCCTAGGTAACTCCTGGAATTAATAGCTGGGATGTTGATACTGCAGTTACGGACAATTGAGACATTCTCCAAAGTCAGGAGAGATGTAGGTACCTTGCTAAAGGACTTAACCAGCATCTGGATCTCTAATTTTTATTCTAAAAGTATTTTCTCTTAGTGGTTTCTAATTCCTACCCACTCTGGGCCAGCAGGTTGGCTTCTCAAGGGTCATGGCCTTGGAATAAAGGATGGCAGAATGAGAAGGAAAGCCAGTTCTTGGGAGAGAACAGATGACCCAAATGCATTTGCAGCGAGTGAGAATAAAAAAGACACTGTTTTACTTGCAATTTAGGTAGAAAGTGAAAATTTTCTGAAGGTGGTCACAGAGTCCGTTGGGTTCTATACTCATGATACTGATGCAGGGAAGGAACAGGGAAAAGCTGAAGGGCCTTGGTTAATCTCCTATTTTCTTCATTCTTTATGTGATGTGCCGCTGGCTCTTTCTTCAGGAGTCAGAGATCCTATCCACGTCTGGGATGGAATCCTTTATTGAAAAACAGACAAAGTTATTAGAAATGCAGCCAGCAGAAGCCCCAGAAAAAGATTCTGAACAAATCCCCAAAGATTGTACGGATGGTTACTTGTCAGATGAAGGTGTGCCGGCCCGAGACCTCAGCAACGGTGATCCAGGTACGTGACAAGATCTCAGCTTCCACAGAGAAGGGAGGTAGGATGTGACCGTTGGGAGTTGTTGATGTAATTTCTCTTGTGTTCAGCTAAGCAAGCCATGTGTTAAACACCAGTGTTTGAGTTGCTGTGCCAAGTCCTGGGATACAAAGAAGAATGTGACACAGTCCCCAGAGCTGAGTCAAACAGAGGAGCAGGGCACAAAAATTGGAAGTTCTGGTCCAGCAAAATAAGATCCATGCTTATCGTATCATTATCTCTTTTATGTTATTTTTGCCATGCTTTGGCATTTTTGGACTACTCCCTTTACATACTTTCGTGTCTGTGGTACCCCTTCCCTAGTTTTCTCTCCACCTTTCTTATGGTCCCTTCTCAGTCCCCTTTGTTGGTTCCCTTACTAGCCTTCCAGAACTTTATTTTTGGCTCTCTGTTCTTACTCTGCATACTACCCCTGAGTGATCTCATTTGTACTCTTGATTTTATTTTATTTTTTTTTAAGATTTTATTTATTTATTTGACAGAGACACAGTGAGAGAGGGAACACAAGCAGAGGGAGTGGGAGAGGGAGAAGCAGGCTTCCTGTGGAGCAGGGAGCCTGATGGGGGACTCGATCCCAGGACCCTGGGACTATGACCTGAGCCGAAGGCAGTTGCTTAACGACTGAGCCATCCAGGCGCCCCTGTACTCTTGATTTTAAATCTAACGTGTGCTGACGATGCCTAAATATTGGCTGTCGTATTTCCAGTTGCTTACCGGAAATCTCCACTTAGATATACCGTAGGGCAACTGAAGTACAACATGGAATTCTTCCTTTTCCCTGGATCTTTTCCTTCTGTTTTATTTACTGCCATAGCAAATGACGCCACCCAGTTACCCAACATAGAGCAGGAAGGGAGAAGAGGTGAGGACAGGGAGGTTTGCTTCCCAGAAGAAGTGCAGATGTTTTTTTTTTACAGAGGAAAAAGTGGGAGCCCTGGATATTAGTGTGCTTGTTGAGCTAGAACGTATAAAAAAGTTTTTCAGTTCCACCAAGACTGAGGCTCCCACTGAAAAGAAAAGATCACAAAACCCTGGGTTCAGAAGGGGGGAGAAAAAAAGGCTGATTTCAGCATTGTTTCTCAGGTGCCCTTGAACGACGTCACCTAACCTCTACTGTATGGACCTCAGCTTAACTGTGTGAAAAATGAAGTTCACAACCCCACCTCTTCCCACATATCTCACTGGTTAAGTAAATGAAGTATTAGGACCAAAAAGCGTCAGAGAACTGTAGGAAGTTACAAATAAGAGGAAATGGGTAAAACAGTATAATTCTAGCCAAAGTCAAGCCTGTAAATTTTGAACATCATGTCTCTAAGAGTATAGTTTATGCCTGAGCTTTTCTTCTAGCCCTGAGAAACTCAAAATGCTCACATGGCAGGAAATTTACCATTTTCTTCAGAGGACTCGGTGCCTCTTTTTGCCTTATTTTTTACTGCTATGACTAGCTGTCACCACATGGTGGCAGCTCTAGGTAAACGCTAAACCTGAGAAAATCATAAAATCCACAAGGGTGGCTGATGCTCAGGATGGTGCTGTTTCCCAAGGAATTGAATATCTTGTCTTTGAGCAAATGACTGAAAAGAAAGCATATCAGTTCCCATACCCCCTTGAAAAGCAGCACAGAAAAGATACATATATATTAGATGGGATTAAGAAAAAAGTAGGATTCGGTTCTGGAAGATTCATCTAAATCTGAAGTTACTAAATGTCCTAAAGAACTCTTTAGGGAGGAGAACTTGGGCAAGCTGACCAAGACAATACCCATTTGTCCTAGACTAACAAAATTACTGTTGATGATTAATTATATTAATCACAGCAGTAGCACCAGATTGCTGAGATTCATTCTGGAACATTATGTATTCCTGGGGACATCTCCTGGGAAGCAAATCACAGATGACAAGGGACCCCCTGAATGGGGTTAAAAGAACAGATGCTTCCATCCATAAAGTACATCTGTTCAGGAGCCTTCAGCTTAGCATGGGTGTGAAGTCACTTGTGGTCTTTCCAGTCTTTGAAAGAGGAAAGAAATCAGTCATTGTCATGGCATATTTTACCAAAGGTAGAGTGCTCTTCCTCGAACCGCATGTTCTCTCAAAACCAGACTGAAGCCTTCTGGATCCCAACCCAACAGCTCTGTGTAATGGAGATGCTTTCAAAGCAACTTGTTTACAGGAGAATGAATCCCAAAACTCTCCCCAAATCTGCTGCCCACAACATTTCCATGATGCTTTGTGGAGGCCAGTGGAATATAAAGATGGAAGAGACTGGGCCTTGCCATTTCCAGTTAGTCACTAGTTGGGAGCAGTTACTTGGAACAGAATGTATTTAGTTCCCAGGGGGAAATACAAAAGAAACAGAAACTAGATAGGTAAAATAATTATATGTAAAATCATTTAGAAAGATAAGTATTACTAAGTGACTAAGGAATATAAACAAAGAATTATAAAGAAATACAGAACCTATCACTGAACTTTTTAGATATAAATATCTCTTGATTTAAGTACAGAAGAATTACAGAAATACAAGATGATTGATATAAGGGTGAAGATCCAGTGCACTGAAATACATTCCTCCAGGGAAGAATGAAGGGGAGTAAGTCGGAGGGGGAGACGAACCATGAGAGAAGATGGACTCTGAAAAACAAACTGAGGGTTCTAGAGGGGAAGGGGGTGGGGGGATGGGTTAGCGTGGTGATGGGTATTAAAGAGGGCACATTCTGCGTGGAGCACTGGGTGTCATGTACAAACAATGAATCATGGAACACTACATCAAAAACTAATGATGTAATGTATGGTGATTAACATAACAATAAAAAAATTTAAAAAAAAAAAGAAATACATTCCTCCAGAATGGGTCTCTTCTGAGTTACTTTTGATGCCTTTTCATACCCCAGGAGCAGAGACAGAGCTCGCTGACACAGCCCTAGATCTACTCCTCTTGCTGCTGATGGAGCAGTGGAGATGGCTATGTACAGAAAACATGCAGAAAGTTCTTCATCTTGTGTTTGGGACCCTAGTTCAGAGGTAAGATGGCAGAGTTCTCCATTGTATTAGAGTCTCAAGTTGGATAGGGGTTGAATGTGATGCTGAATTCTGCACTGGAGAGGGAAAGTGTAGAATCCAGGAAACCTGCAGCCATAAGGAAAGACAGAGACTCTGTAATAGGTGCCCAGGGATGAAGACTGCCTGAAGAGTACCAAAAGGCTTGTGTTAATCACCTCATCATCTAAATGGGTCTGCTTCTGTAAGACTTCTGGCGTAATCCACTGAGTTATAGACACTGCCTGTGATCTTAAAACACTTCACCTCAACTCTTCCTGCTCGGGGATCAGTTCTCCACCCAGTTATGCTCCCAAGCCCTATACCTTTCACCTCGGTAAAACGGACATTTCTCTTCACTGACAGTATATATTTACTGTGATGATAAGCAGTGAGACAAGGAGAAAACAGGTCAGTGCTCTGAAAATAAAGATTGTTTTCTCCAAAAGGTATGTAAACATTCACGACTAAAAAAGTACTTACACAGGATGGTAAGGAATAAAAGTATTACTTACACAGGATGGTAAGGAATAAAAGTATACTTCGATATAAAATGTGGACTGTGATCCCAACACCACTTGCGTCTCCTAAAAGGTCTGCATATGGATGGAGTTTTTAGGTGCTAACTTCCTAACCATGAAACTGACACAAACTTTGCTAAATTCAGGATGGCCAGAGACATGGTCTCAGAACCAGATATAGATAGTGCTTGCTTATGTTTTGACCATTCTTGTTTTGATTTCTCTCTTTTGAGACATCCTGGCAGATCCTAAAGTAACAAGCCCAATTCTGACCTCTTCTGTTAGCGTATGTCTCATGATAATAGATCACACCAAGAAGAAAAACTATTTTTAAAAACAGAATTATGTGTCAGTTCTACAAGTAGAAAATCCATTAACAAGGAGCAAGTAAATCTTCCCTCCTACTCTCAGAGTTACTTAAGATTAGGGAAGCTTAAGGAGCTTTAATAATAAAAAGACCTAGTGAAAGAAAAGGATGCACTTTCATATTTGCTGAGCACTCATCATATGCCAGCACTGACCTCTGTGTACATACATTTTCTTGTAGCAGCCAAGTGAGGTAGGTAGCCCCATTTTATAGAAGAAAATAGAGGTTGGCAAGGTCAGCTAGCATACTCAAGGTCATAGTAAATGACACCTGCACTTTGAAGCTAGATGTATATAACTCCAAAGCCAGTGTGCTTTTTCCTACATGTTGTAGCTGACAACTGGTCTCCAACCGAAACCCACATATAAAATGCTGACTAGTCTCCATGCCATTTGACTTTCTCCTTTGTCCCTCCTCCATACTCAACTCTGCCACTAGAGTGCTTTTTCGGAAAAGCAAATATGAACATATAGTCCACACTTAATATCCTTCAGTGGTGCCCTATTGCCTACAAAAGTGATTTTTCCACTGTTTCCCAGAGTTCTAGGGTTCCACAGAGGTGCTTTAGAAGCTAAGGGGAAAACTGAGTGGACAGTGATCTAATCAAAGAAATTTCATTTTGGTCAGTGTAATAGGCTAGGGATCTGGGTAATTTTTTGTTTGAAAAAGGGCTCCACTGTGTTTAAAATACATATTTATTATATTAAAATTTCAGCTCTTTTCTTATGTGACATGGTTTGGTCCCAGCCTTATTTCTGATTCTCCCCCATGCAAACCATTCATCATGATCTGAACACTCAGTGATCTCTCTTCCTTCAGGCCTTTGTTCATTCTCTTATCTCTACCAGAATGGTCTTTCTCTGTTCATTCTTCTACTCATTCTATCTCATGTCTCTCTCGTTCTGTCTCCTTCCCTATGTCCAAAACTCTCCCTCTTCTTGTCTGCTTGGCCTACTGCTAAATATTTTTCAAAAATTAAGCATTAAATGTCATTTATTCTGAAACTTTTTTGTGGTATCCTCTCCCACCTTCCCCCAGAACTAAGGAGCCCTCTTTTCTACTCTCAAAGTTGTGATGATTATACTTATCACAGTGTATTAGAGAAATGATTTTCTTTCCCTAATCCAGTAGTCCTCAAATGGGGGGCAGTTTTCACCCAGGGATATTTGGCAATATCTGGAGATATTTTTGGTTGTCACAACTGCGAAGGGAGGCAGGAAGTTATTTCATCTAGTGGGTAGAGGCCAGGGATGCTGCTGAACATCCTACACTACACAGGACAGCATTCTCCCCACCCCCCCAAACAACAATGAATCATCCTACCCAAAATATCAGTAGTGCAGAGGTTGAGAAACTCTGCCCTAGACTATCAGTTCTTTAAGGAGTAGACCTGGCTATATATCCCCAGCAACTTACACAGGACCCAGGACATAGAAGATGCCATTAAATGTTAGATAAAAGAATAAACATTTCCTTTCTCATTACCTTCATATTTGAAGTAGAGTCTCTCTGTTTTTATTCAGTCACCTGTGAATGTTGCTAACTGAGCCTTCATTTCTTTCTTCCTCTATTAAGTTTCCCCTTGCTGATCTTCCAAATGCTTTCCCAAAACTGGAAGATTCTAAAACTAGCTAGTATGTGATAATTGATTACCCCCTGTCCTTGAAGTCATTTACATGATGAATTGGTTTCAAAACACAAGAAATTATTCAGTAGGAACAGAAAAGTATAGGTGAGTGAGGAGGAATTTTTAAAAGATTAAGATTCAGGTAGGAAGAAGTTTACCTAAAGTTTGAATAACTCAGAATATTAAAGGGCTTGAGCCAGTAGCAGGTAAGGAAAGAGAAACGTATTTGGGAATTACAGGCAGATCATTGAAGAAGTAGTATTTTACATAGTTAGGGTTCTATGGGAAATTAAATACAAGGGAATTTCTGATTGAGAATTCTAAGCCAGATTGCATTTACCTCAGTGGGCGATGATTATAAATTCTCTAGGGATAGGGAAGAGACAAAGATAAAATGGAGTGGGTGGGATGTGCAGAAGTAAATATATTGTGCCCTCTGGTGTGAGCATACTGGTAGACAGTTGTCCAGGCTGTTTGTAGCATTCATCCACTATACCTTGAAATACTCTTACCTATCTGTCCAGCTGGGAAATTGTTTTGGTCTGACTCCTTTATTCACCGGACTGGTCAGTAGGAAGGAAATAGACTCAGTCCCTACTTTTCACATTTTGTACAGTTTCATGGTGTTAAAGCTGAGGGCCTTATCCATGATCATCAAGCTAATGCGTGTTGGAGCCAGAAATCAAACCCAGGTATTCCAAAGCCCAGGTTCTTATCTACACTATATACTACTTGTCTGCTATGATTAATCTCTCTGAGCTTTGGTTTCCTCATCTGGAAAATAAGAATAATAATAGTATGGATCTGTTTAGGTTCATAAAAGGTGCCCAAGTAGATATTACGTCTTAATATTTGCACTTCAGAAAAAGGAAAGAAGGATAAAAAGTATTTTCTTTTTCTAATTGCTCCAGCTAGTGGCCCCAAATTTGCTCTACTTTTATGTCTTCAGGATGACTTTTGTGTCTTCAGGATGCCCCACTCTATATCAGTCTCCTCCCATAGCTACCACTGTCCCTACTATGCCTGTCTGAGTTACACAGAATAGAGCTCCTAAACAATAGAGACTTTGTAAGGCCTTTCAAGGTGACTTTGTGCCAATGGGCTCATTTGTTAAAGCAACAACCAGAGTGTTCCTGTGTCTTACATCGGGAAGCAGACTACCTGCGGTCTCTTTCCAGCACAGACAAGCATAGGTTAAGTACAGAGTTCAGTATTTTTCAGGATTACTGGTGCTCCTGGTTACATGGGTGGGGAGAGTGGCTGGAATCAAGTAGTGCCTTTCCTCATGAAAAGAACTTTGAATCAAGATAAGTTTTAGCCTTCATGTCCCCATCTGTTGACGCTTCCACTAGAACCACGCTTCTAGTTAGCTGGGTACATAGCTGTCAGGTGAATGAAAATGAACAAAACCCACGGGTAGCTCACACCATAAGCAAAATCAGGGAGAGGGCTTACAGCTAAATTTCCCTTGACTTTGCTTTTACTTCTTTTTTTTAATAATGAGGTGGCATCTCTTTGTTAAAGGAGGGAAATTCTGGATGTATTCAGTGAATTTGAATGAAGCTAGTATGACTCTTGTGCAAGAACAGAATACTGTGGCTCTTACTTTTGGAAAACTCTTTGTAACTGTGGTCTGTTATCATAATTTTTTCCAGGCGATGATATTTTATACTTACTCAGTTGTCTAATATCCCTTCCTGTCACAAAGTTCTTACTTATTTCTAACCAAATTTTATCCTTAAGTCCATTTTGTTTTGTGTTAGCTGCAATAGAAATAGGAACACAGCTGGCTGACACCCTTCTCACCCTGAGTCTCCACAGACTAGAACTAAGAGTCTTATCCTTCCCTGGTCAAGGCCTTTCATCTTTCCCTAGAAGTCATTCCATCTTTTTAATGATATATAAACATGACCCTCTTCTCAAATATCTTGTGCTGGGTTCACAGTGCTCTTGAAGCTTTTTTACAATAAGAGTCAAGAAGAAACCGTGGCTATCTGGAAAAAGAATCCCAGTTCCCCTTCCAGAGGCATGAAGGATCTGTGGTCTGTGGTCTTGTATCAGCAAGTTCCCCCTGTGTGTGGTAGACATGGAAAAGACAGGGCTTATTTCAGGACTCAAATTGTAGACATTGATCACCTTGTCACCTTCAGGATATTTAGTATCCAGCAAACCTTTGTTGAGAGTTTATTTTGTGCAGACACTGTGCTGAACACACAAGCGTATTGTATCACTTAATCCCCTCAAAAGCCTTGTGAAAGAGGTATCATGATCCCCATTTCAAAGATGAGGAAGCTGAGGCTTACAAAGAATTGTTATTTAGTCCAGATCACAGAGCTAATAAGTATACCACAGGCAGAATTCGAACCCATGTTTGTCTGATTTTCAGCTATAATGACTTTATCTTTCAGGGATTGCCCTGGGATTTGAAGGGATTAAAAACCAACAAATATCTTTGCCTCAGAGTAGTCTA